GTGGCGCATCGCGAATGAGCGAGGGAAAAGGACTCGGGTTAGCCGCCAGGCACGGCCTGTGTCAATCCAGGGTAATCCGAGGGTAACCCGGGGGTAATCCGAGGGTAATTCAGGGTAATCCGGAGAAATCAAGGTGTAATACGGGGGTAATATGGCGTTATCCAGGGGTAACCGCAGGAACAATCCGTTGTATACGAGATATCGTCGTTTCCCCGCGAATAAGTTAAGGACAGCGCGGCTCGCTCGCACTTTGGCGCCATACCGCATGGCCGGCGCCTGAAGCGGGTCTCGTGGCGACAGCGCCGGGCACTCTGGCCGGAAAGGGCGTTCCCATGGCTGACGGACACGCCGTTCCACGATAACGACGTCGGGCTTTCATTGCCGACTTATTGCAGCCATCGCCGTTAAAAGTATCATCAGATACTCCTAAATTCAAACTGCTCTCGCTGCTGAGCGCAGAGCGGGCATAATGAAGGAACGGACCCCCCCCTCCCCCATGCATTTCTCTGACGAGACAATGTTTACCAGACGGCGTGCGAATAACCACCCTCCCTCGCTCGACCTGGGGCCCCCGTGCCCGGACCCCCGCCGAAGCCCACGAGACGGACAGAGACGGCCAACATAATTGCTCTCCGTGTTTTCGCGCGCAGACTCGAATCGCGCGGGATCGAGGGTACGGCGACGGCGGGTTATCAGCAGCGTGTGAATCGACCAGAAGGATGGGAATTAGGGGGGAGGGGGAGGGTACACGCGCACCATAGCCATCTGTAGTACCCGGGTAGCGTGGCGGTGTGGGGCGGTAGGCGGGACGGGTGCGGTGCGACGCCACGGGCTCTTAATCTCACCTTGCGCGCGGCGCTCTTCGCCACTACGCGCGCCAGGACCATAACGAGGCCCTGTTAGCCAGGGGGCGAGCAGCGACGCTGCAGCGCCGGTCCGGGGCCAGGATGGCCGCACTTGCCCACGGCGCTCTCCTCACTCACTCTCTTTCCACCCGCCGCCCTCTCCTCCTCAGAGCTGCCGGGCAGCCCGCACGGCTCTGCAAACAACCTGTGTGCCCTGCACGGTACAGGGTGGGTCGTGGGTCCTCTACCCCGTTATTTTGAGTGGGTGGGAAAGCAAGGGCAGGTCGAAATGCACGGATGTACCTTCTGCGTACTGTTTGCGTACTGGTCCTTCACGTACCCGATCCATGTTGGCTTTGGACCGCAGGGGTAAGAGCGCGCACCTCGGGCGTCCCTCTGTTGCGTGTACTGCCTCCCTGCTCAAGATCCACCCTGTGGCCGGGCAGGCCGGGTCCACACGCAGCGCAGCAGCTCCTTTGCATTTCGAGCGCGTCGCCGAAACCTCCCGGCGCGCTCCTGGTGCGTCAGCGAGGCAGCGCGCTGGCGGCCGCGGGTCACGATGACGTCAAAGACTCACAATACGGAGGCGCGTGGCCCGCCTCGCGACCCGTCGACCCGTCGCCCTCCGGAAGGACGCGTTTCTGCGCGCGAGGCGAGTTGGACCAGTTCGGGCGGCCGCGACCGCGAGGCCCGCCGCCGAGCTTTCGGCGGACAGGCCACTCCACACTCGGGCACAGCGCGCTCGGGGGCTCTTCAAAGTCGTCGCTAATTGCGATGGGACCTCAACTCCCTCAAGACTACGACACCAGAATGCAAAGATTTTTCAAAATTTGCGAGGGATTGCTTGTCTTTTTTAAAAAACAGCCCACACTGTTACTCAAACGCCGTGACGTCCCATTTGAACGACTGTGACTCATGTCACATTGGTAGGAATACTATGTCACATTCGTTGTATCGACGTGACAAAGGTACGCCTACCAACCATGGCACTTACACAGCCCATGAGTGCAGAACGGAACGATGCAATAGTTAGTACACGTCACGTTCTATAGAATTTGACATATATGATATTCGAAGCAATTCGCCCCACCGAATTGAATGTGAGATCGCAGTGTTGGTGTTTTAATAACAGTGTGCAGTTTGGCAAAACGCGTTGAATTCTATCCTCAAAGAGGCTGGCTTGCTGAGGATATCCGATATGATTGTGTTCGGATTGCCGAGGCCTGTGTACTACTCCAGACTCGTCGAGTTCAGGGCCTCTCAGCTAATTGCGTCCCGACGAGCCGGGTCACATCTTTTTCATTCGTATTTTTGAGTTTTTTTAGTGGGGTCGGGACCGTGACGTGGTCGGGAGTAAAGTTTTGCCGACGCTCGCTAGTGGGGGGGGGGGGGCGCACGGGAGAGCCTACGCGGCTGCGGGAGAGTCCAAGACAGGGAGAGAGATGGAGGATATGGTTTGTGTTTGTGTATTGTGTGTGTGAGCGCTTGTATGTGTGGTGTGCACTGTACACTCTGCCGTGAGTCTGCCGAGCACATGCAGGAGGACCCTGTCACAGTGTCACACAGCCCCTCCGCCGCGGCGCTCTACCACGATCCGCCGATCCGTCTTTCGTGCACACCCAAATCTTGCCCTGCAAACCTTTCCGCCTTAAGTTTCCCCTATCCTGCCCGCTTTTCCAATTTCCAAAAGAGAAATTCAGTACACAAGGTTAATAAAACCCACATTGCCGCGCATTGCCGCTTATTAGCAGCCATACTGAAAGTAGTGCTTGGGGCGGGTGACAGGCGTTAGAGGTCCAGGGTCCAGCTGGATTTGGGAGGAATAATTTAATATGGCTCTACTTGCTTTACTTTTTAGAATATGTAACCCCGCTTATTTCTGTACGTATGCTGTACCGCACGCATGAGTGTGGGCGGGTTGTCTACTCGCTCGCCCCGTGAGGCGCCGTGAACAGGTGAGACAGGCAAGCCTGCCCGCACTCGTGCGTGCGGTACAGCTACAGCATAACTATTTCAAAGGAATATTCAAATTTGCTCATACTTGAACCTTGCACCTGCGCACGACTGCACTCGGTGCGGGACCACTCTGCGTGTAGCGCCGCGAAAGGGATGCATTTCCTCCCTCTCCATCTGCTACAGGACCGTGCCTCGCCGCCTCTCCTCACGCAGGCACTCTGCTGCGGTGAAGTCCCTCACACTGGCTCCCATACCACCCCCTCCCCTCGCGCGCCGCCACCGCTCCCTTCTCTCAGCCCGCAGCAGTCTCGTGACCTCGCAACAAGTCTCCCTTCTAACCAATCAGCAAAGGCGTGGCGCTCCGCTGCGCCGGCAGGGGTGCCCAGGAGGGTGCCCGGGTGCCCCCCGGCGGTGACGCTACGCGGGGCTATGCGCGCCCCCGACCCCCCCGTTGTCATTTGTTGTCATGGCGGCGGCTGTGGCGGGGCGCGGTGGGCTAATTTGGCCGTGACAGTGCCAGCGGCGGGCCCGGGTCGAGGCAAGCCGAGGCAAGCCGAGGGCCTCGCCACAACAAACAGTGGCCTCCATCCCGCCAGGCCCCGCCAGGCCCCGCCAGGCCCCGCCAGGCCCCGCCAGGCCGCGCCGACATGTCAACGACACGCGGGGGCGGGGAGGGCCGGGCGAGGCCGCGCGGGCCGCGCTAGCGCAGTACAGCCAGGCGATGGGGGCGCCGCGCGGTCTCTCACCTTGACAGACATGTCGGTGCTGGTGGTGCCGGTGGCGCTGTCGCTGCCGCCGCTGCGCCGCTGTGCTGGGGTGCCGCTGGTGGTGCCGCCGGTCCGGAGCCGTGCGCCCGGCCGTGTCGCGTCGGTGGTGGTGTAGCGCGTGACTGTGCCCCGCTGCTCGCGCCGCGGCGCTCTGCTCCGCTCGGCCTGGACCCGCCCCCTGCCGCAACCCCCGCTCCTCTCAGCCTCCTCCCCGGGCAGCGCGGCCACTCGCCTAGCCTCGCTTCGCACGCTTCGCACCGTCTGGCTCGCGCGCCCCCCAGCCCCGCGCCCCGCACCCGCCGCTGCAGGGGTAGGAGGAGGTGCGCCCGGTGCGCCGGCTCTCTCCTACTCGTCCCGTCAGGGGTGGGACGGACGGGGCGCACTCTCGTTGGGTTCCTCCCCTCCTCGCTCGGCCCTGGAGGTGAGGTGAGGTCCTTGTTCCACGCAGCGGGCGGGGCGGCGCTGGCTCCTGCGCCCTGCCTCCACCCTTTCCCCCACCCCTGCCCGCGCCCCCGCCCAACCGAGCCCCGTGCGGGGTATTGATCGAGCTCTACCACCATTTCTACGAGGCCCTGGCGCGGCGTGGTGGAGCGTGGTCGGGTGGAGTGAGACGGGGAGGAGGAGGGGGGCTCGGGTCCTGAGCGAGAGGATGCTCGTGTTGTGGTGGAGCCGGCGCTAAGTGACCCGCCGCCGTATATCACAGCTGACTGAGTTTTAGATGAAAGCACCTAATCCATTTCGGCCGTTGTGCGACCAGGTGGATGCAGCCCACGTAACCCGCCTTATTTCATTGGTGGTGGTGGTGGGGGCTCAACCTCAAGCCCATAAGGCCCGAGCGTCTGCTTTCCTTATCGTGGGATGTTGAGAGGGGTGGGGTGGGGGACGAGGTATTTGCTGCACGGAACAGAGCGGTGCACACGTGCCTGCGTGCAGCAGACGCGGGGGGGGGGGGATGTGCAGAACCGGATTTAATTGAATACCCCTCTGAAGGGCAGCGAGCCTCCCGCGCGCACGTGCCTGTCTGTACAAACAGCCGGAGCGCCGCGCAGCCGCCGCAGCCCTCGCCGAGCACGCGTGCGGTCGTGCGGTGGGGCCCACCGGGCCTACCGGGTCCGCCGGGCCCACCGGCCGGCACCCAGCTGCCCCACGTGGCCGCCGCGCCGCGCAATCCTGGCGAGTGTGAGGGGGGCCATGGGGGGGAAGGGCGCCCTGCACCCATGCTCGGGCGGGCGCGTGGGGCTCCATAAGGCTGCCGCGGGCACCCAGGTGTAGAAGAGCTTATTGGCTTTGTTGCGACAAGGAAGAGTTTTTAATGAAAACAAAAAACATCTCATGTAGTAATCGATATTAGGAATGCTTTATTGGAAACTGATCGACCAATCAGTCAACGCTTGTACCGTCCACATTCTCACACAAAACTCAAATACTGTATATGACAAGAAATGCCAACTCTAGTTGAAAAACAGCACAGAAGCAGACTTAAAACTAATAGAATCTTTGATTTGTTTGACTAGAAGTCAATAGAGATTATCATGATGGGTGGCTGGAAAACCCCGACTTTGTTCGAACTTTCAAGATGCACCCACGATACGATGTACGTTCCCTGAGCGGAACCAACCGGAGCTCCTGCTTCCGCCTCCACCGGGGACCGGGGCGCTGTTCAGGGCGGGCCACCATCTGCACACAGCTGCTCGGCGGGCGGGCCTACCCAGTGTGTCGCAGGGGCTCTCATGAGCGGGGGTGAGGCACCTTGCTCTTGCTCCGGCATGGCTCGCGCTCACACTCTACGGCCGTTCACAAAATCAGAAAATATTTGCATCTTGGATCATGGTCGTCCGAGGCAGAGTAGCGCCTGTAGGACCTGACATCTGCAGCACTGAACCGCATGCAGACATGCGGGTGGCCTTTCCTATCGGCTTGTCTTTGACCATGGCGCGCCTAACGGCTCCGAGCGAGCAGCTAACCCTTCAATACGAATGCATACCCTACACCACAGTGAAATCATGCAAATAAGTTGGTAGGAGTTTTCTTTGGTCATACCTGGTAGTTGTTCTAGATGAAATTAGAAAATATGCGTCAGATCTAATACTACTGAGAGAGAATCGATCTGTCCAGACAGTACAGGGCAGTTCTCTAGTTAATAATTATAAAATATAGCAGGTAGAACTGCTATGTAACAAAAATACAAGAACTACAGAATTTTTTTTCCTGAAATGTAGTTTCTATTACAATATACTGTAAGCTTAATTTCTTTTTTCAAAAACAACTTGTTTTTGTTTTTTAACAAACATAATACTTTCATATTTTAAATGCTCTAGTTTTTGTTTTGACTAGTCAAGAGTGTCATCACAACAGTAAGTTTCGCTTTCAGGTAATGGTAGAAATGTTATCTTTGGTTGCCCTTTGCTCAAAGGTCAGGCAGAAGTAGTGAAGGCAGCTCCTCCTTTATATCTTCTTTTGCTTCTTGTGCTGTGAGAAGCTCATCATCATCTTCATCTTGCCCATCGTTCTGTGGCAAAAAATAAAAAAAAACAACAATTAAGTTTCAACTAGGCTAATTTAGGAAGATATAAAGTAAAACTAACTGTGAATGAGTTTCATACTAACTTGTAATGGTGTGGTGCTCTTGTACTGAAATGCTGATCTAGACAAGTCCATTTCAATGGGAAATAAAGGACGGGTATCTGGAGGATCTAGTGTTTCGAGAGCTGATGAATGAAATGCTGCTAAAGCCCCAACAAACTTTTCCAGCTGTGCTGATATATCTTGCACATGTTTGTTGTCAAGAAGTTCTAACTTCACCAGAACATCTGCTCGCAATCGGGCAAACTTCGCTCTTGCATCTTGTCTGCATCTTAGGATCAGCCTAGTATTTGAAAAGTTAAAAAATGTAAGTTATATGGTTATATAACATTCATAACATTATTTATTGTGAAAGTAGCTTGTTGGATCGTACCTGTATTCATAGTTTCCTGTTTCCACTCGATAGAGTGGTTCTTTAACTTCATTGAAAGCTTTTTCTTCATCATCCATTTCTTTGACTTTCAAACAATAACTTAAATATTCAAATTTGGCATCGGCATATTTTCTGATAGTCAGTTGGGTGTCAGGTATTGCTTTGTACAGATATGTGCCAAGATCAGAAAGTATCTAGAAAAAATCATAATTTTCAGACATTCATCCATTTTGCATGTTTCTATTATGCTTAAGTATATCTAATTAAAAAAACAAATTGGTGGGTTACTAAAGTAAAACTCACAGGTTTTATAGTCCTCAACATCTTAATTCCGTGTTTCTCCAGACTGCGATGGTAGTTTGCAAATTGAGTAAAAGTTTCACTTGCCCGGGGTTGGGGTTCTCTAGCTCCGATTTCAGCAAAAGTACACCCAAAAGCTGGGAAAATAAAAAGGTATGCAAATTGTTTACAGAAACCTATCATAGAGACTTATGAAAATATAGCTGTATGTTCGTACCTTTGTAGACTTGTAGGAGCTCAAAATATGCTTTAAGAACACGCTTTGCATGTTCCACCATTCCTCTATATTCTGTTTCAATGGCCTTCAGCTCATCAAGTTTGCGGACAAGAGCATCATTACAAAGAATGGCTCGTGACAGCCCTAGGGCATCAGCTGTTGTAGCACTCATTTTTTCAACAAGTCTGTGCTTTGCTTTTTTTAGAACAATATCAAGAGATTTTCCCAGAGAGGGATCAGCATGAAGTTTGTTAAAAGTAATACTGACAGCCTCCTGTAGAATTATTGTGATTAGTAATACTTTAGATGATACTGATAAACAATTAAATCAATCTAGACAAAAAATTTGATGACCCGATAAGTAGCTAATGTACTCACCTTACTGGCTTGAATCATTTTTGCAGCCTGCACTTTTGTCTTGCCTTTGCACGAGGTTCCATTCACGCCAATAATTTCATCTCCACTTTGTAATGTGCCATCTCGAGAAGCTGGAGTGTTATCAAATACCTGTTTAAAGATTATTTGAAATTAGTGTCTTACAGAGCACAACAAAATTATACATTACACTACTACAAGTGCCAACTTACCTGTGCTATATAGAGGCATGGGCAGAGAGGTGCACCCCCTCCAATACTAATGCCAACAAAATTGTTTTCCTTAGCAAGAGTCACCACACCTGATGTCACAGTCATACCCCTAAAACAAAAACCAGAGTGCAATACAAATGAATTAATGATTACTTTGATTTGCTGGATGGCAGTAATATTTTTGCCAACTTTGGACATATATCACAAGCCAAACTGTACAAATAATTTTCTGTAACCATGCAAAGGTACACATACACACTTTGATTAGACACTAATTCCTCTGTTCCAATGATAGAAATCGTAACTAATGCAAAACACAAGTAAAGATTTAAAAAAATAAAACAGCGATAGAAGGTTAATGAGACATGCAATAGGTAGTAGGTTGCTAAGAGTTACATGAAATGATTGTGTGTGTAATTGTATAGCATATTGAATAGGAATTTTATCATGTTGGATAAAGATGTAAGAAAATCGGGAGTAATGAAATGGCTACAATGGAAATAATACTTGGGAAAAATTACAGCAACTTACAGCCATGACCATAAACGATAAATGGAGCATTTTGATTGGTTTACATCTAGCCTAGTATGTTTACTAGAATAACTCACATTGTGTCATGATACCCATTCATTAGATAGTCTCCATCTCCATAAGCCTCCTCTCCATACTCATGAGAGGGAAAAGCAGCATCCCCAGATGATCCCCTCCCAGTTGAGTCCTTATTGATTTTATCCAAAGAATGGCTCCTGCTCAGAAAGGTGAATTTTGACATCTCCAATATAAATAAATGATTGTTTATATTTTAAAGGAAAATTATTGGACAATAATACAATTAAAAACTAAGCATTACCTTTGTGTCTTCTTCTTTGGAACTTTCTCCTTTTGGTTGCTTTGACTGTCGCCTAAGTCAAGCAACCTGTAAAAAATTTAAATGAGGAGTGCAGTGTGAATGTCTTGACAATGTTGAGGAAATTAATTTAGTTAAATTAAGGGTGAGGCCAGATAGTGGATAACTCCATCTCTAATTTTTATTTCCTCAGATCCATAATTGATTTGGCAAGTCTATTGAAACTACTTTTAATTTGAGATTGTGTCAGAAAATTTTGTTTATACTGAGGGTTTTATCCTAGAGACACCTTTGACAGAAAGCAGAGCACAGAATGAAACAACCAAATCAAAATGAGTGAACTAAAAAATAAGTTTTTAGAAGCACAGCAAAAATAAGAAACAGTTTGATATGAAGAGTAATAAACATATAAGAACATAAGGACCATATTAGCATGATAATGTGTTAGGGACAAAGTTTGACAACCGACAAACACCATGCACCAGTGATAGCCCGATTTTCAAGCGATTCCACCACAACCCAGTGAGAGCAACAGAACAACTCGCACCCTTAAGCCTGAAGTTATAGTGGACAACATACTTTCTATCTTCTTTTGAATACAAAGTTCCTCTCACATCACCCATTTCTGTAGAATGGAACCCAAGTGGTGGTGGCAAAAACATGTTGAAAGTTCGTCAACAACAACTAGCTGGAACGGAAAACAAAATAATCTTATGCTGATTTTACTGCTGGAAATAGATCTGAAGAAGCCATATACAAATAAAAATCATAAAAAATCAA